CAGAGGCGTGGTCTCCTCTCCCCATGCTCTGCGAATTGCTGGGGCAGCCTCCGCCGGCCAGAGCTGCCTCCTCTTACAGCCCTGCCACCCTACTTGGGCTGAGCAAACGGTGTGAGGGGAGGGGGCGGCCAGCGGAAGTGGAACCAGCAAGGGAGGCCGGGCCGGGTCATGATGGGTTAGACAGCAGGGCGAAGGTCGGGTGTGAATGCGGAGGCCCACGCGGGAGGTGCCCAGAGCCGGTGGAAGGCAGGAGCCGTGTGGATGGAGGGGAGCGGCAGGTGCGGGCAAACGTGAAAAGGGAGATATTATGATCCAGCTCTGCCATCTTGAGCAGGCTAGCTGAGCTCTCCGACCCTCTGCTTCTCCGTCTGCAGATGGGGGCGGCACGGTATGGGTTTAATGAGATAATACAGAAAAGGTGCTCAGTACGGTGCCTGGCCCCTGGTATTTTTCTCCAAAAGTCAGCAGTAGGTCTGCAGCTGCTGTTCATGACCTCCATCTCCACTGACGACACCACGTTTCCTGTCTTAGTTACGGGCTGAACAGTGGTGTTCTTGAGCAGCACGGCTAGCTGTTGAGGGGCGCAGGGTGTTCATGATGTGGTCAGCCGTGGACACTGGCTTCTGAGAGACCCGGGCTGTGCTGGGGGGGGCGGGGAGGGCTAGTGGGTAGACATGGAGCTCAGGACAAGGGTCCGGAGACTCCATGTCCAGCGTTCAACTGGTGGGCTGCCTGGGGCCAGAGCTTGGTGGTGGAGTTGGGGGGTTAGGGTGGGGAGATTGAGGGGGGACGGTCACCAGGCTTGGCGACAAAAAAGCTTGGTTCCAACCGGGCTCTGCCACCAACTAGCAGGTCCCTTCCTACTCCTTACCTTCCCCAGTTGTAAAGTGAAAGACTTCATCATGATGCTCCTAGGGGACCTTACCGTTAGGACCCTGGCAAAGAGTCTCTAAAGGTCCCATCTTATGTGGAGCATGGACTCCTTTAGAAAACTGAAGAGGGCATCAGGCCCTCACACAAGCAACACAAACTTCTGCATAAAAATTCCTGGGTGTTCATGGATTCTCTCAGATCCCCCCATAGACCTGGGACTCTGGGGTCCTAATCATCCTCATACATAGGGAGCGATCATGCCCACCTGCCAGCTAGCAAGCTGTAATAAAGGAAAACAGAATGCTGGGTCTGCCCGCCGCAGCCACGGCCCTCATACACACCAGCTAATAATGAGTTTTTCTCCTGTTTGCTGATGGAGGACACCTGTAATAAAGTTTAATGTGGAAGAACACGGTGCATTTAACCAAAGCTGTAAACATCTCTAATTCTATTCAAAACTATAGGGTCCAGTACATTAACGTTGAACAATCAGACTCTAAATTGGTGTGAAGCTAATCGAGCTGTGTTTATTAGGAAGGAGACACCAAGTCATCTTTTATCAATGACAACAGAAGGAGCAGAAAACTGCCCCCCCACCCTATGCATTAATTAAGAGTCTTCCCCAAATGGCCACCCTATGGAAAGACACCGATTGCCTCGGGGAAAATCTACTGAGCAGAGCACACAGGGCTCAGTGCCAAAGTCTGTTAGCCCTGTGCACTTGGGGAATTGTTTTCCCCAGCAAAACAAATCATTTTTAAAAATGCAAAATATACAATTAATTCAGAAAGAGCAAAGGCTCAACCTCTATTCTATTTGACCTCTGCAGAGTACACACTGCTGAGTGCTTCCTCCTTCGAGAAACTCCCAGACATGGCTTTCTCTGATCGCTTGCTCTCCCCTGGCCTCCTTCAGGCTCCTCACCTGCTCCTGGAGCTGCCAGCAAGGAGCTCCTCATCACTTAGGCCTGGGCACCTTCTCTCCACATTGGGCTGCCTCTCCCTGGGGATTTTGCTCACTGTCAGGCTTCGGCTGTGACCTATACTCTCAGGACAGCCCCCAACCTTCCAGGGGTTCCAGATCCACATTTCCCAACAGTTTACATCGATGCCACTCCAAACACGGTCCGGATTCAGAAGCATGGGCATTCCTTGGGGGCTTGTCAGAAACATAGACTCCCGGGCCCCATACAGACTTCCTGAACTATAATCCACAGTGTATGAAGATCCGGTAATGTCCTAAAGTTTAGGGAGCACTCGTCTATCCTACCCATCTGAACACTCCACCATAGCTCACATTCAACCTGTCCATGCAGAATGCAGGCCCTTCCTCCAGACCATGAACGTCTTCTTTGTTTTCCATCCTGGTGAATAGTTTCTGTCCAGTGTA